AACCATGTTCTGTGTAACTGAGGTTGTACTGAGTGTCTTCTATCTCACTTTTTCTTTTTTTGTACTTAATTAAAAGGCTTATAGAAGCAGTGGGGAATGTGGATTCAGTCATACCTGGGAAAGCACCCCAGGTGTACTTCTACTAGTTCCACACTACTTTTATCATCTCTTTGGCTTCTGTTTCTTCATGTACAAGATGAAGATCTGATAGAGTGGTTTGGAGGAATAAATTAAGACAGTGAGTATAAAGCTTAGCACAATGTATGGCACAGAATGAGTTATGTTCATATACTTCCTTTGTGCTCTCTTCACAAAGAAATTGCCACCTAAAAAGTCCTGTTACCTGTAATGGAAAAGTTCCTTCTGATTGTAAGTCATTGCAATGGTTAAGGTTTATATCAACTTGGCTGGGCCATGATTCTCGGTGGTTTGGTAGTTATGACATAGTCATCCCCTATGATGAGATCTGATATAATGTAATTATCATATGATGAGATCTGCTCTGAGCAGCCAGTCAATTGAAAGGGAGTTTCCTTGGAGATATGGCCTACTTCTAACATATATATGGACATTCTGGCAAAGCTTTCTGGCTTTTGGCTGGACCTATGTCCTATACTTGGTTCATCATCATTTGACTTCTTGTTCTTTGGACTTGAACCAATGGCCTGACGTATTGCCTGCTGATCTTAGGATTGTTGCCATCTGCCAAAGGGGCAGGGAGACCACATCTTCTGACCTCCTCTAACGTCACAAGAGGAAGACAGAATCACCATCAGTAGGCCAAGGCCTGTCACTGTGAGGCCAGACATGCTGCCTCCCTCCAGTCCTTTCACCAACTGTGACACCAACTGTTCTTCCCTTAGCACCCACCACCTCCCTGCTGGGTTCAATAATTTGCTGCAGTGGCCACACAGAACTCACAGATTATGAGGTTTATTAGGGAAGCAACAGGCTACAAGTCAAGTTCAGAAATGCACTCAGTCTCTCACAGCCAGCAGTCTT